GATACGGACGATGATGATGATGATGATGATGATGATGATGATGATGATGATGATGATGGTGATGATGATGCTGATGATGATGATGATGATGATGATGATGATGATGGTGATGGTGATGGTGATGGTGATGGTGATGGTGATGATGATGACGACGATGACGACGATGACGATGACTACAACAAGGAGGAGAAGGAGGAGGAGGAGGAGGAGTTGGAGGAGTTGGAGGAGGAGGAGGAGGAGGACGATGGCGACGACGATGAGGAGGATGATGGTGGTGATGAGGAGGAGGATCAGGATTCTTTGACGTATTTCGCATTTGTTTTCCCCCGAAAGGCTTCTGACGGCCTCCAGGGGCCTCGAACTGGAGGCCTCCGAGGGAACGTCTGGAGACTTCCCGACTCCCGAAGACCTTCGGAGAGGGGGAGTGGCGAGGGAGGGGAAGGAGGATGCGGAGGATGCGTCGGCTACGCGTGAGAGTGACCCCTCGCCGAAGCGACCGTTCTGGTGCGGGCCCTCGGCCCTCCCCCCCCGCAGCGCGTCGAAGGCCACTCTTCCGAGGGCCGCTCTCGCGTGTGGCCGAACGAGGCGGAAGGGGAGGGGTCGCTCTGTTCTTGCGTGCGGCCGAGCGCGGCGGAAGAAGGGGGAGGGAGGGAGGGGGGGGGGGGAGGGAGGATCAAGGGAGGAACAGTTACCCTGGCCCCACAGATGGCGTTGACTGAGGAGGACAGTCCAGGGTGTTCGCTGAAAAGCCCTGCCCAGTTCGATTCCTTCGGGGAGGTGGGTTTACCAAGAAGGCTTCGCTTGTGAGGGGTGCTTGTCGTGAGAATGGTTACTCGTCCCTCTAGAAAAGGGGGGGGGGCAGGCGGGGGAGCTGGCCGCTCTCCCTCTCGCCGCCCAGCGCCAGTCCCCATCGCAGGCTGTGTGAGCCGTCGCGCCTTCCTGGAGGCCAGGGAGAGCACTCTCGGAACAGAGTCGCGCCTCCATCCTGGAGCTTCTTGCGGCTTTTCGGGTCTCCATTGTGGGCTTTCTCCGTTCACGCTGTCGAGATGCTTTCGGCTGTTTCTGGCCCTCTGGAGTGCTGGAGGGCGGAGGATTCGTTCGCGGCAGACATCTGGAGTCTTGGCCTCTGTGTCATGGAGCTGGCGACGGGGACCTACCCCTACGGCAGCATCCCCTCTTTCCCGGTGCTCCTCGTCGTCATCCCTTTCATCCTCCTCCCCATCCTCCTCCTTCTCCTGCTGCTCCTGCTGCTGCTCCTCCTCCTCCTCCTCTTCCTCCTCCTCCTCCTCCTCCTCCTCCCCATCCTCTGCAATTACGCAATCTGAGTACTACTCTCCTCTCTCCCCTGATGACGTCTGGAAGATATCGCATTGTGTGTTTACACAGGATTCCCGCGAAACGGGTTTTCGCTTGGGTTTTGTTTCAAAACGTTGCTCCCGCTGAAGCGCTGGCCCCGCCTCTGGATGTTCCAAATCGCGCTCCCGCTGCAGCGCGGGCGTTTTCGGTCCTTCCAAATAGGCCCCCAAATCTAGAAGATGCCCCCCCCGAAACAGCTATTGGAAATGATTCCACATTCGGTATCGATTCTTTGATTTTTTGGGCCGCAGAAGACCTCCCCACTTTGGGGCGTCGTCGTTTTCAGGAAGTATCAAGCGGAATCCCCGTTTCTGCTTTGAGAAAGCGATGTTGAAAGCAGAGCCAGCGGCTGCTCTCCATCAGGTCCGCCTTGTGTGGAGCTCTTCGGGGAGCCCAGGGAGGTAGACATGGAGCCACGACTCCAGAACGGCCCAAACCTCTGGACAACGATCCACTTACCCTCCAAGGAACCTGGCGCCATGCCATGACATGCTGTGCGGTGTTGTGCTCTGCGCCGTTGTGCCATGCCATGTATTGCGTTGCATTGCTTTGTGATGCAATGCTTCACTGCGCAATGCGCAATGCTAGGCCGTGCTATGGCATGCTGCGCTCTACCGTGCTCTTCTGCGCCATGCCATGCCGTGCTCTACCATGCATCGCGTACCCTCCCGCGATCATTGCCCTGCTCGACATCCGACTGTGCGAATAGAGAGGATATCTACGCCATGGTAAGGGGTAGGAGGGAGGGGTAGGGCGTCAGATATGACGCGAGCGCACCTAGCCTGTTCTTCCCCCCTCCCCCTCCTCCTCCTTTTCCTCCTCCTCCTCCTTATCCTCCTCCTCTTCCTCCGCCTCCTCCTCCTCCTCCTCCTCCATCTCTTCCTCCTCCTCCTTCTCCTCCTCCTCCTCCTCCTCCTCCTCCTCCTCCTCCCCCGTCCTCCTCTTCCTCCCCCCTCCTCCTCTTTCTTCTTCTGCTCATGCTGCTGCTCCTACTCCTCTCCTTTTCCAATCCTCCTGTTCCTTGTCGCCCTCCTCCCCTCTCTCTCTCTCTCCCTTCCTCTCTTCTCTTCTCCCTTCCTCCCTCTGCGACAGTGAAAATGATACCTCTGAGCTCCGGCAGGGAGAGTCCTTCGGCCAGTTCGTTTTGGCCTGAGCTGATTGCTGGTCCGCCGTTGCCTTCAGCATCCGTTATGCCTGGCCAGTTTGCCCTGAGGTCTATTTTTCTTACCCCTTTCTTTATAGTAGGCAGCGCGCTGCCGACTTAGGCTACGTCATGCCGTCCACGCTGTGCCCGCTGTGCCTCGACGCGGAAGACATACTGAGGCATCGTTTATGGCGTTGTGCGGAGGCGTTGAGCGAGAGGGGGGATTTGGTCAAGGACAGGGTGAGGAGGTGGGCGGAGGGCGCGGACGACGCGCTCGCGTGCTTCGGAGTTTTCAACCACCCTGCCGATTCTTCCCCTCGCCCTCTTCAGTCGGGTGGTGTGCAGGTCGACTGGGTTTCTCCTGCTGGCGGGGGCTTTACGCTCGACAACGTTTTCGTCGGGGATATGTTCGCAGGCGGGTCATGCAGCAAGAGAGTCATTCCCGAATTCGATCGTGCGGGTTGGGCCTTATCGCTCTGGCGTCCTGGCGCAGGTCTCGAGATCGTTAGTGTGCGGGGGCCAGTCTGGCCCCCGTGTCCACAGGCGGCGCAGGCCGCTGAATTTCACTTTTACGCGATCGCGCTGCAGTGGTCGAGTGGTCCTTGCGAGTTTGTCTGTTGACAGCAAGACCTGCGTTGATTTTAATGCCCTTCCGTGGGAAGAGCAATGCTCTCCTATGCGTGCGTGTGCTGGAGTCGCTCAATTTGGTCGAGAGTTTTCCCAGTGGTGCAAAGTGCACAACGTCAAGGCCCACCAGGCCTTCGAATGGGGCCGAAGATAGCGGGGATCTCTATTTGCGCGAAGGTAACCATGCTGTCGACGTTTCGGCGAAGCAAGCTGCGTTGATCCACCCGCAGCCCGACAGCACGGAAGCTGAGGATGTATATTGCAAGCTGGCCATTGCGAGAGCTGTGGGCATCCTGGCCGCGAAGCTCTTGCCACTTTGGCCGTGCCTCGATCTAGGGCCGAATATGCAGACGGTCCCTGTTGCCGCTCCTGTGAGCAGAGAGCAGGGTCCGGCGCGCGCTTGGAGCTGGACGGGGCGTTTCGGCAGTGTTCTAGATGTTTTCGTGGGTCACGTTCAGCCGGCAAACCGCCCGCGAGCATGTGCCGTGGTGGCGCGGGCGTCGGGGTCCGTAGCGTGGATGTTCCTGTGTTGTCTGCTCTGGGGCACAACGTGCTGGTTTTTGACGCCTCGGGCGGCAGTTTTGTTTCCGTGTGCATCAAGTGCATTTCGTACATTGGAGTTGGGCAGGTTCGATGCCCCCGACAAGCTTGCCAGCCGATCCCGAAGGCTGGAGTTCAGGGTTGGAAGCACGCCTGGGGGCAGATCGCGAGGGGGCGGCATCCCAAGCGCGGTGACGTCACGGTCTCTGTTGGCCCCTGGGCCAATATGGATGATGATGAGGAGGAGGCCCCCGCCCCCTGTGTTGAGCCCCCCCCCCTCGGCCTTGGAGGAGCAGGATGCTCGCGAGAGGCGCTGGGCCGATTTGGCCCAGCGCCTCCTCTCGGCTGCCACTTCGAGCCTGCCTGAGGATCTTGGGCGTCGCTGGCCAGAGCCAGCGCGCGCCACTTTCCGCCGCGGAGACAGCGACGCTGATTAGGAATTTAGGATCCTGCTCCACATTTGTCTGGTTAGTTGGTGGGGTCGGGGGTCGGGTCGTGTTCAGGGGTTGTCCCGAGTCACTACCCGCCCCGCCCTACCTTGTGGTGTCTGGCTGGTGTTCGCCTTTCGTTTCTTCTTGTGCGTTGCTGGCTTGTGCCAGCACGCTGCTTCCCCTGCCGCGGTGGCAGTGGCACCTTTCAGACGTTCAGGGGGCTGCCCCGTGTTCGTCTGGATGTTTGGCGGTGTCGTGGGTCGGGTACTGTGCCGGGGTTGCCCCGAGACAGCACCCGCCCGTTCTAGCCTAGAACGGACCCGTTCTTGAGAACGGGGTCGTTCTAGTCCAGAACGGCCCCCTTCCTGGCCTGGTGGCGCCAGGCAGGGCTTCGCCTTTTGTTTCTTCTCGCCCAGCCTGTGTGCGCGGGTGTAAACTTCGAGCCTGCCTATTAGAGGTCGGTTTGTGTTTTTGTTTTTTGCCTCGGCGGTCTCGCGCTCCCCTGGAGTGACGTGCGGGCTGCATGCTGCGTTGCGGCAGAACATTATCTCCTTCCTCCTTCCTCTTTTTCCTCTCTGCTTCCTCCTTCCTTTCTCCTCCCTCTTGCGTCCGCCCTCCGTCCTCTTTCCTCCCGCCTCCCGTTCTTCCCTCCTCCCTTCGCCCCCCCCGTTCCCCCGTCGAGGTGCTCTTCGACAAGTTGTGCAGCAAGGCAGAGCCGCGGCTACCCCAGGGGCGGTTCTCGCAGAACCTGTGCGACTTTGTGTCGGGCCCAGCCGGGCCTGGTCGCCGGTGAAGCGATCGTCGCCACGAGGCGGACGGGTCCTCGGGGAGCGTGCCTCGTCATTTATCCACCGTTGTTGGCTCCCTGGGGCCTTCCGCGGGCCCCGGGATGTGTCGGGGGACGAGGGAGGGCGAAGAGCTGATCTTGGGGGGCGGCCCCGGGTGCCCAGGGCCCGCCTCCCTCAGGATAGTCTCTTCCATGCCCAGATCGTCGTCATCTTCGCCGTCTTCAGGGGCGGCGGCGTCCGCCGCCGCCGCCGCCGTCGCCGGTGCAGTGGTCGTGATGTCGGTGGCCAGCGTCGTCGTCGTGGTCGTCGTCATTGTTGTCTTGGTTGTGGTCATGGTCCTAGTCGTCGGCGTCGTCGTCGTCGTCGTCGTCCTCGTCCCCCTTTCGTCTCGTCGTCGTCGTCGTCGTTGTCCCGTCGTCGTTGTCGTCGTCGTCGTCGTTGTCGTCGTCGTCGTCGTCGTTCCGTCGTCATCGTCGTCGTCGTCGTCATCGGAGGAGGAGGTGCTCCCCTCTTTGCCAAGGGGCCTCCCAGGCGGTAGTCAGCGTGGCCTCGCAGGGCTCCTCACCGCTGGCTCGCTGGCTTGTTGCGGTTCGCCCCAGCGTGTTCCTGCCCCCTCCCCCCCCCCGAGTGCCTCCCGCAGGGCTTCCCCGAACACCCCAGAAAGTCTCCCAGGCTTCCGCGGTTCTCTTCTTGACGGGTGTCGCCAAATATATCCTTGGTCCAATGCGCCTTCCAGGGGCCTTCCTGGGCTTCCGAATGACCGACGGGAGGATTTCATATTGGCGATGTTAGGGGTTGCGTTGTTGGCCCACGTACTTGCTGCCGCAGGAAGAAGCAGCGATGACGAGCTCTCGAACATTCGACCGTTTGTAAGTTTTTACGATTGCTTTGGGGGAAGTTGGGCCTGTCCCTCCTTCATCTGGAGCCTTGTTGGCTCAAGCCTCCTTCGAGACATCACCAGATCTCGTCTCGCTAAGCCAGGGCATCGCCGCGCACCGAATACTTTTATCTTTCTGAAGTTATGAGTTTCTTCCGCGTTCTTCTGGCCGTGTGCATCGGCCGTACGCCAGTTACTTTCGCATTGCCTGTTGATCCGAAGCCATTTAGCGACCGCCAGACAGCAGCAGACGGGGGAGACGATCTTTTCATGATGCACCCCTATGAACCAGAAGATTCCCCGACATTCTACCTCGCTTTTAACAAGGCTTGGGATGATGCGCATACGCTCCATATGGCAGTGATGCCAAAGGAGAAAGCCCAAACCAAGAAAACTGTCAATGTGGTGATTAGCTTGTAGGAGAGCGACGAGCTGCCGCTGTAGTGCCAAATAATCGTAAATGGCGGCTGGGACGAAGACGTGTCGCTCTCAGTGTACGTAAAAATGTAGGGCCTGCAGCGTGACGAGGAGCAGGTGTTGAATCGCAGCGATCGCTTCGATAGGATCGCCATTCTCTACTTCGGGCGAAACGAGCACGCTTACGTGTGGCACATGGCGCGCGGCGCCCTCTCTTCTGTTGGCGGTGGGATCTTCACTAAAACCAGCGGAGTCTCTGAGGGAATGGTGAAATACAGTTGCGCTGCCGCGAATATCGGCCACCGCGCTGAGGGAGAGCGGTGCCATGGGGGGGCATTCATGGGGGCTGATGCGACTGGGAGCTGGGAGGGAGGCCGGTCCCCTCACGGGCGCGAAGCACCCCGACAGCACACCTGGAATCGTAACACGCAATTTTTTTTGCGCGTTTTCGCGTAAATGCTTGCGCAGAGCATTTTTGCCAGCGTGGACCGCGACAAGTGACTCATTGCACTCGTAATAGATAAAGTCTATGTGGTGCAATTAATTTCTGTTCGCAGTGAGTTGTCCACTCCACTGCTCGCGCAAGCATCCCACCCACCCACCCGCAACTTGGTTTGCAAAATCTCTTAAGACCGTGACGGTGGATACCACATGGCACTTGGCAACAACAGCGACGCCGACGACGACAGCGACAACGACGATGACGACGCCGCCGACAACGACTACGACGACACCGACGACGTCTCCAACGACTTCGACGACGCCGACAACCGACGACGACGACGACGACGACACCGACGACGACGACGACACCGACGCCGACGACGACGATGACAACGACGACGACGATGACGACGCCGACGACGACGATAACGACGACACCGACGACGGCGACGACGTCAACGACGCGACGACGACGACGACGACGACGACGACGACGGCGGCGACGACGACGACGCCGACGTCGACGACGACGAAGACGACAACGACGCCGACGCCGACGACGACGACGAAGACGACGACGACGTCGCCAACGAAGACACGAGGAAGGAGGGAGGACGACGACGGCGACAACGACGACAACGACGAGGGAGGAGGGAGGACGGCGACGACGCGAACGACGAAGAAGGAGGAAGGACGGCGACGCCGACGACGACAACGACGAGGGAGGAGGGAAGACGACGACGACAACGACGACGACGACGGCGACGAAATAGGAGGGACGACGACGAGACGCCGACGACGGACGACGACGACGACGAGGGAGGAGGAGGAAGGACGACCACGGCGACAACGACGACGGAAACGACCACGACGCCAAAGAGGACGACGACGACGAACACGAGGAAAGACAGAGGACGACGTAGGCGACGACGACGACGATAACGACGCGGGAGGAGGGAGGACGGCGACGACTACGACGACGACGCAAGAGCGCGCGCGCACGCTTTTGTTGAAAATCCGTGTTGCGAAACCTTGTGGTTTTGTAGGTTTTTTGGGTACGATTGTGAAATCCTTCCGAAACCGATGGGTTTTGAAGGTTTTCGGCATACGCGCGCGACGACGCGCGCGTCTGCACTTCGTCCCATTTTTTGCAGGGATTCTCGCGACGGCACACGTGCAAGGGCGTTCGACAGATTTCGACATGAGCGCGCGCGAAGCCCGTTTGGTAGCATTTTGTGAAAATCTTGAAAAATCTATGCTTTTCTTAAGGTTTCGTAAGAGCTTTCGGGAAGTTTTTTTTTTTTTTTTTTTTAGTATTAAAAAAAAAAGAAATGCAATTTTGTGTTGCGAAACCTTGTGTTTTTGTATTTTTTTGGGAACTCGATTGCGACATCGTTCCCGCACCGAAGGTTTTTGAAGGATCTCGGCATGCGCGCGCGACGACGCGCGCGTGTGCACTTCGTCTCATTTGTTGCAAGGGGTTCGTGAATAAGTGCTATGTTAGAACAAACAATGTCACCGCATAGTGTTTTTTACCAGGGAACCTCAGGGGGGGGAACCTGGTTTGGCTGGGATGGTATGATTTCATTTTTAGGATGGGCGAGTGTGCAGAATATATATACACATATATATATATATATATATATATATATATATATTATCATACGCACCTCTCCGAGGGAGTAGAGCTCAGAGGCGATTAATGCGCACGCGTCCGCGATTTTTCTGGGCGTTTCGCTCGGGACATCCTCGAAATTCTGAAAATCGGTGGCACCCCTCACGCAGATCGCGACGTCAGGGTCCAAAACCACATGGGAAATTCAACATTTTAACATAAAACCTTCAAACACACATGGTAATTTCAATAATTGTGACCCCGATTCTCAGTGAATGGCGGTTTCGCTTGAAAAATCCTTCCAAACTCGAGCCCCAGACCCCGCCTCGGAGCCTCCTGGGGGCCTCCTGGAACCTCCTGGGGCCTCCTGGGCCTTCTGAACCTTCTGGCACCCCAGACCCCGCCTCGGAGCCTCCTGGGGGTGTCCTGAAACCTCCTGGGGCCTCCTGGGGCCTCCTGCGGCCTCCTGGAGCCTCTTGGGGCCTCCTGAAGCCTCCTGGGGTCTCCTGGGGCCTCCTGAGGCCGCCTGGGGCCTCCTGGGGCCTCCTGGGGCTTCAGAACTACATGCACACAGAGACACAAATCACGCCCAACACATCACACGCTAGACAAACATACACACACACACAACACCTACAACACACAAAAAGCACGCACCACACGAAGCATACATCACACACACACACACACACACACGCACAACACTCACAATCCTGGGGCCTCCTGGAGCCTCTTCTGGTATCCAAGTCGGGCCTCCTAAGGCTTCCTGGGGGCCCTGGTACACACATCGCAAGGTGTGGCAACCCCACTTGCGCTCGAGTGCGACTTCGATGTTGCATTTCACTCCTGCTTCAAACGCCCCTTCAGTTTTTTGTATGAGCCTGGGCACACACGTGCCACTTGTATATATATATATATATATATATATATGTGAAATCATATTATCCCAGGGGGAGCCGATAAGTCCGGGGGGGGGGGGGGATAATCTATTAGTCTTTTAGAAGGGAGAATCGATGTAGTGCAATGTATTTGGTGTAATCTGTGCTGTGCAAGGTATGTGGTGGAATACATGTGGTGCAATTGATTTTTGTTAGTCGTGAATTGCCAACTCTCCTGCTCGCGCAGGCATCCCACCCTGCCACCCGCAACCTGATTTGCAAAACCCATGCGGTCAAGATGGCGGATCTACTTGGCACTGGCTGGCGCGGCCGCGTTGGCACGCGCAAGCCCGCGTGCAATGCAACCAGCAGGCTTTGCACAACTGGTGCAGCCGCGATGGGGCTTGCCGACGGGCACTTCCCAGCGCGTCTCAGAGGCCGCGCTGGCGCGTGGGCACTTCAGGACGGGTCGCTGACTCGGGCGGGCGCGTTCTTTGATGCCGTCGACAACGGATGATGATGATGCTGATGATGATGAGGATGAGGATGAGGATGTTGGCGATGATCCTGATGATATCGATGATGATGGTGACGGTGATGGTAATGGTGATGATGATGGTGATGATGATGCTGATGGTGGTGCTGATGGTTATGATGATGCTGATCTTAATGCTGATGCAGATGCTGATGATGATGTTGATGATGATGTGGTTCTGCTGCTGCTGATGATGATGGATGATG